GTGTCGCGCAGGTGGGTGGGGGAGGGGCTTGGGGGGGCCGGCGGGGTCAGGGGCGCGGCTGGAGCCCGTCGGCGGCTCGGACCCGGAGACGCGGCGCTTCTTCGACAGCGGGGAGCTGGACATCTGCGGGGTCAGAGGTCAGAGGTCAGCCAGGGACAACAGGTGACAGAGAGGGTGACAGCACTGGGGACACAGTGGGGTGACATTTGGGGGGACGGGGGTGGCAGTGGGTGACACTGAGGGCGGTGGGTGACACACAGGGCGGCACTGAGGGGGACACAGCGGCTCCGGGTGACACATGGGGTGACACCAGGTGACACTGAGGGCAGCGGGTGACATTTGGGGGGACATGGGGTGGCAATGGGTGACACTGAGGGTGGTGGGTGACACTGGAGGTCGCACTGAGGGACACACAGTCGCACCGGTGGCACCAGGGATGGAGAGGGACATTGGGGGACAGAGAGGGTGACACTAGGGGACAGAGGCTGACACCGGGGGGTGGATGGTGACACCAGGGGACACTGGGTGACACTGTGGGATGGAGGGGGACACCAGGGGACATTGGGGGGGACACCAGGTGACAGAGGGTGACAGCAGGTGACACTCAGGGACGCTAGGGGAGACACTGGGTGACAGAGGGTGACACCAGGTGACACTAAGGAATAGCAAAGGTGACAATAAGAGACACCAGGTGACACTAAGTGACACCAAGAGATGGAGGGTGACGCTTGGGAACACTGGGGGGGACGCCAGGTGACAGAATGTGACACCAGGGGATGGAGAGGGTGACACGGGGTGACAGACGGTGACACTGGGGGATGGAGAGGGTGACGCTAAGGGACACTGGGTGACACCAGGTGACAGAGGGTGACACAGGGGGACGGAGAGGGTGACACTAAGGGACACCAGGTGACAGAGGGTGACACTGGGTGACACCGGGGGATGGAGAGGGTGACACTAAGGGACACTGGGTGACACCAGGTGACACCAGGGGATGGAGAGGGTGATACTGGGTGACAGAGCGTGACACTGGGGGACGCAGAGGGTGACACTAAGGGACACCGGGTGACACCGCCCCCCCCCACAACCCCTTAACAGGGGGCGGGGCCTTCCCGGGGGTTCCCATTACTGGGGGAGGTTCCTATTAACGAGGCTCCCATTGAAAAGTTCCCATTGGCGGGGGGCGGGGAGGGTCCCATTACCGGGGGTCCCGGGGGAGGGGGTTCCCATTCGGGGGTCCC